GTTTGTCTCTTACCTGGTTCAACAACTGGTAGAGAACGGGTTTGGCACCGTGCCAAACCCATCCTGCCCCCTTATCTGCAGCGAACGAGACTATAAATACTTTTTTTTCAGATAGGTCGATCATCTCGATCAGCTCGGATTTACATAAGGCTGACGTGTCTCGAAGATAGCTGGATGTGGCGAGCTGGGAGAACTCGGCTGTTCAACAATGTTGCTATCCGGCTGAGATCCATAGAAGAAGCTGCTGAATACACGGAATCCATCGCTGAACAGGTCAGTCTCGTTCAAAATCCAGAAGTGTCCCTCAACGGGCAAAACAGCGTTCAGCTGTTCAACTGAAGCTGTTCGGCTTAGGGGGGAAGGGGGCATTTCGCATTTTCTCTGATTCTCGCCTCTAGTACATGATAATAGCGCGTAAGCTCTTATAAAACTCCAAAATTGTACAGATTAGCCACTTTTGTTGAAGGGCTTTGCAGGTCATCACAGGGTGGCCTTTGCAAGAATCGTTAAGAACCATTTGGTGCCCCCTCTAAGCCAAATGAAATGCAGAAGAAAATATCAATATTTGTTGCCGATCCTTCAGTTAAAGGTAGACCCTACGGTACTCCGTTCGGTATACCGAGTATAACTGTAACTAACGTAAGATCGATACGTATCCTTTCTATATGTGATTCTCTGATCCTCCAGTGGAGGAATGTGTGAAGGCAACTTTACTGAGCTAGTTTAACAGCTGGTAAATATTCTTTTCAGATCAGTGTAACCATCAATTTATGCATTGGAAAGGACGTTCCTGTCCAACGACTTGAGCGGCTGTCTTTGCCAAGATCTGGAAATACTGCCAAGTAGGTCGATTTAGTCGTAAAATGTTTTGCGTTTCGAAACACGACTGGCCATGGGTCGAGGAACCCTTGATAGAGGTCTAATTTTTACCACCAATGATGCCATCCTGAGCTCGTTCCAACTGGCGGGACATCTGCCCTGGCTGCGCTCCAGGCCACGCCCTGTCACACGCCCTATCGTTTGCAGGGATTATGACTGTTTTTGAAGGTGAAGGGGGGTCAGTTTTATGTTGAAGGGGGTGTAATGAATATGGATTTGAGGAGTCTCTGATTGCGAACAGTGTTTGTAGGACACCGCGAAAGATCAATGTCGCGCTCAAGTGAACAAGTTTTCCTAGTCCTTTGACAAACAGTTCGGTCCTGGCGCGAAAGTCGCTTTCGATGCAAAGTGGATCTCCAGACCGACGCCCTGAGGCTTGAGTGCTTTCGGTGTCGCATTGAATTCTGCGCCGACACAGATTTCCAAATTGGAAGAACTGGAGCTAGGAGGTGAAGAAGAAAGAAGAGTCCTACGGGGCGAAGGCTTAATCTACGAGGTCAAAATGAACTCTGCAGTACCCTGGCAGTTTCCATGGCACCGTGACTCACTTCTTTCCGAGATCTTTGAAGGCAGTGGGCACAATGACTGGGGCGTGCGGTTGCTGTCAACGTCACTGGTGGAAGTGCTGCGACAGAGCGTTTGGCCACATTCCACTCCGCCCTTCCACCAGTGACGATGGCAGCAACTCCACGCCCCTAAGCCATCGTGCTTTTTGCCTTCAAGGAGCTTTTTATTGCATTAATTTGTAATTCGTTCAGAAAAGCTTTGGCATCAGTGGCTGCCGCGTTCAAAATGCGTGTACGTCGTCCGCAAGCTTCTGTAGCAATTCCCACTAGCGTATCTTTTGGTAAGGTTTTTAACTTTGTGTCGCGGTGATTCTACACTAAAAGTGCAATGGTTTAGTGAACGAAGAGCAAGGACGTGTCGCAATGAAACCGGAGCCACCTCAACCAACATTGATCGATTTCGAACTAGTCGACACGGATTATTCTGCCCATGAAGCTATTGCAGATTTCCGAGATGACATGAATAACCACACGTCAACAATCCCTACTCCACAGGTCATTTACGGCGTTAATTTTTCTGAGTGCGCAGATGTACATCCATGATCCCTGGAAACGATAGGGTGTGACGGGAGCGTGGCTTGAAGCGCAGAAGAGCAGATTTCCCACCAATCGCAGCGGGCTTAAGATGACATCATTGGAGGAAAAAGCTGCGACTTGCTGTGTTTCAGTCCACCGCGTCACACGCCTTGTCATTTGCAGGGATCATAACTGTAGCACAGGTGCGCGACCCAGCAAACTATTTGCTAAGAGGTAATTTTCCTTCAGATCCATGTTTCGGCATCCGACAGCTGTCTCGTGGCTGAGGCAAGCCGATCAGCTCCATCATCAGGCGGACTTGTTGGTCGTATCCGTGGTCTGAAACCATTCACCCGCTCAAACGATCCTAACGCGGCTGTGAACAACCCATTTGAAAGTCTGGCTTCTCTAATGTCCAATTCTCGAACTAATTTTATTATGATTTAGATAACTAACAGTAATGCCTTTTGCTAGGACATTCTTAATTCGGCCTGTTTACCTTTACTCCGCTTTCTGAAATCAAAGACAGTGGGCACGATTGACGGGGATGGGGTGGGGCGGTTGTCACCAGTGTCATTGGTGGAAAGGCTTAGTGAGATGTGACCGAATGCCCTCTTGCACCCCTTCCACCAATGGCGCTGGCAACAACCGCCCACCCTACCAATCGTTTCCACTGCCTTTACGTCCAGATTTTTATCGAAAATCTTCCCCTCAAGTAGATTTGCTTATCGATTCGTTCCTTGGGGTAGTTTGACCCAACCATC